GCCCTGCCGATATGGAAACATTTTATCAGGAGGAGAATTCATACCATCCTTTGTTGCCGTCGAGAGGTCGGCCGATATATCACATCCGGAGCTACTGACTGGAGTTAAGGTTCTGCAGTTGACTCTGAATTAGCATAGCTGGCGTTCGCTAATCTCGACGATGCATATCCTTCCGCCAGTGATTGCCTGTAGTGACTAGCTTCACACGAAGTGCATTTGTGAGCGCTTATCGTAACTAGCTCAAGGCAAAGTGCATTTATGGAACGCCTGTTGCTTCCGGCCTCTGGAATAGCCAATCACGGGCCGACTCCCACAGAGCCTCATGTGACGACTGCCGAACAGACATCACTTCAGACGCCGTCCGCTGGCTTGCGGTCGTGACAATCAATTTCCTACTGCCTACTCTCCCATTCGTTCCGTACAGAATTAACTCTTCCGACCACTCTGGCCTCCCCTGACTTCTCTCACCTTTTAAGGAACCGGGCCTGATGATAGCATTTGCCGGAGTTTAACTAACTTAACCCCCTACGATATGCCCATTGGAAGGGCTGTGGGGCCAACCTAGCAGAGCCGAGCGACTGCTTTCGGTTTTTTAATCGAGTCCGATCGGCGAGAATCAGTGATCTCACAGTGGCCAACAGAAATTCACTAAGAGAGGTTAGCAGGTAAGAAATGTTTGCAAGCAGGTACAACTGTTAAAAACGCAGACTTTTAACAAATGTTCTTTTTTATTTCCGAAAAAAAACTAGTCTGCTAAATCTCTTTTTTTTCCAAAATCATCCAAGACTCCGATGTATTTCATACAAATTACTTCAATAAACATGTATATCAAATAAAAACATCAGTTCCTTTCTTCGAATAATCGGATTTCAGCCTTCGCTGGAGCTCAGATGTGAGTGATTGTGTACATAACAAGGCCAGAGATGCCAGCGGACACTGGGAGCGTCACCACCCAGGCGACAAAGATGCTGGTGAATAACTTCCAGTTTACGCCGCTGCGTGAGCGGGCAAGGCCGACTGCGACCACAGAACCAACTTGACAGTGTGTGGTTGATACGGGCAGACCCACTTTGCTGGCCACCAAAGCCGTAACTGCGGAGCCAAGTTCGATGCTCACACCACTAAATAATCAAAAGAAAGTGCCGAAATGGAATTTGCATGGATATAAATAGAACAAAAATATTCTTAGTGGTCACCCCGACTAGGAAACTTAAAAGGCTTGGCATAGTAAGCTGAAGGAAGCGGATTGGATACATAGGGGACTAGGCTGTTTCAGCCACCAGAGCGGTCTTCCAGGGTCTGACATCCGCACATGCA